AATTTTTTGGTTATTTTATTATTAAATTTAATATAAAATTTTAACATGTGAAAAATGGTTAAAATAAAAAGAATAATTTTTTGTGATTATATTGAACATTTTAAACATATAATAATAAAGTCAGGTTTTTAAAATGTTTATTCTTTAAATTGATGCATAATTATCAAGCTTCAAATTGTATTTAACACTTCTATTTTCAATGTATCTCATTAACCCAATTAAAATTTAAACTAATTATTCATTTTATGACATTAAATTAAAATTGTGAATACCACACATATTAATCATTATAATATTAATATTTAATAGATATTAAAAAACAAAAATTATCAATTATCTATAGTTGAAAAATCGAAACTTTGACTGTATTTTTGATTATTTATTTTATGTGGTTAAACTGTATATATTGTTTATATTGTACATATGCAAGAATAAGTGGTTGTCAAAATAGTAACAATTAAATAATTTCAATTTTTATATAAGAAACAAAAAAAACAAAACAAATTTTACTCATTTTCAAAATTAATATTGACTGGACCTTGTCATTTATTTTAAAATTAAACTGATGTTAGGAATACACAATTTATTATGAAGGAGTGAATGGAATGTGCAATTTCAACATGCAATAATTACGATTATTCAGTTTGTATGTTAAAAATACTGTAAACTTATAATTAATCACTACGTATTCGTTGAAACACTTCTAATATGACGTCATATTACAACTGTGATATTTTGTTATCAAATTTGTAATCATGTTTGAATTAATTTATTAAACATTTTGTGCTGAATTTTTGTTTTTCATTTTTATATCATTTGTCGTTTTTGGGTGTATTAAAACACGAGTATACTTTCTCTTAATTGTGCTTTTTCAAATACACAACAAAATTATTTGTTAATAAATTTTATGATAATATTATTAACACTTGTTTAATTTATAATATTGTATTATCAAACTTATATATTATTTATTTTATTTAAAAATCGACTTACTTAACAATTTGAAAGTCTTTTTGAAAAGAATAACAATTATTTTGAAATAAACAACGTTATTTATGACAACAATATTTTAAACAACAAATAATTTTCGTATTTGTAAATAATCCAATTTTAATAATTAAAAGAAAAAAATAAACATTATTGAACAAGTAAAATGTTATTTTTAAAATTGTAATAATGATATAAAGAGCACCAGAAAACTGTCGTACATCAGAAAATAGTCGTACACATTGTTTTATGGTATTTTTCTGTATAAAGTCGGGT